AATTTTTTCCCTTCAAAAGCCTTTTTTTTTTTAAAAACCCCCCCCCCCCCCATTCCCTTTTTTTTTGTTGTTGGCGGCCCCCCCCCCCCCCTTTTTTTTTTTATTTTTGCCCGGGGGGGGTTTGGGTGTGTAAAAAAGGGGGGGTGGTTTGGGGGGGGTTTTGGGGGGGAAAAAAGGGGGGGTTTTTCCCCCCCCCTTTTTTTTTTTTTTTTTTTAAATTTCCCCCCGGGTTAATTCCCCCCCTTTATTGGGGAAAAAACGTTTTTGGGGGAAAAAAGGGCCCCAATTTGTTTTTAAAAAAACCCCCCCCCCCCAAATTTTTTTTTCCCCCCCCCCCCCCCCCCCCCCCCGCCGCCGCGCTGACACTCGGCGGCGCGCGTGTACGCTTCCGAAACAGCAAGGGAACCGCTGCGCAGAGTGCGCCTGGTGCTGAAGGCGGCACCGTATTGTCGAAGCTTCCCTTCGAGGACATGGCCTACTCTCGGTGAGTGAGATGTGTTGGTGTTGACAATGGGGTTTGGAGGACAGGCCGGGCGGGGAGTCTTTGTACGAGCCCCGTTCGATACGTGAACTCTTTGGGTGTAACATCGGCATCAGTAGTTTTTAAGAACTGGCGACCACACAAGGCGCGCACTTTAGGTCGTGAATGGTCGGCGGGAGCGGTGGGGACTAGCACAGGAGGAAGGACAACAGCGTGTTCTATGTCTTGGGGCACGAGCGGTTTGACAGAAGGTTGTGCGGAGTGTAGAGTCGAGGTCGAGTTATAGACGATGATCGTGTCGGTGGTTGTTTTTTTGGTGCGTCTGCTATGTTTGTAGGGTTTCATGCATATCAGCGGCAACGCTGCCAACACATGCAGGTACTCAAGTAGTGCAACTTCAATGCTTTTATTCGAGCCAACAGTTTTTCATTACCTCACAGGCTGCAACATGGACGAAGTAACCACCTAACTCATTTCATCTTTGCCCGCCCCCCTCCGTTCGGTTTTTGTGTTGGATTTGATGCCACTGTTTTCTTCTTTGTGTCTGCAACAGGATCTATGGCAAGAATTGCGAAAACGTGATGGGGTACGTGCCGGTGCCAGTCGGCGCCGCGGGGCCCCTCATTGTCGACGGAGAGAAGGTGCGCTTAGTTGAGACTGATGGGTGAAGTTGTTTTTATATTTTATGAACCTCTTGTCGAGAGTGTATGAGAGTTTTTTTTCTTTCTTATATACGCCCTTGGCTTGTAGAGAGTTTAACGAGTTTTGTGTTCGGTCGGCGCATACATATCGCGCCAACATACATGGCGTTAGTGGACCAACCTCTGCAACAGAGTCGCTTATCAGCCGGCTGTATCGTGCTAAAACACCCACCCCCCCTTCCAAACACACACACCATTGAAGTTGGGGTACCGGGCTGCTGTTGAGCCGGTTGACCACGCGGAGTGAGAATTCACGCCACAAAGCGGGAAGGCAAGCACGAAAATGCCCCCCGCTCGTGGAACTCCGGTGCTCTCCAATGGTATGCGTCTGATACAGAGTGGATGAGAATATGGTAGCTAAGCACATGAAAGTACAACATTTTCGAAACGTGGCAACCTAACCCCGACCCTAAAACGTACAGTACCCGGTACACCGTACTTCATACAGCATACTTGTTGGTAAAATGCATACACCGACTGAAGGAATAAGAGACCTAGGATGGCGGAAAAAATAACGTTCTTGCTATCGTGCGACTGCTGTGTGGCCGGCGCTTTCCTTTTTCTTCTTTCAATCATTTTTTTTTTTGTTCTCCGTCACAACACGCAGGTCTGGATACCTCTCGCCACCACAGAGGGGGGCCTGGTGGCGAGCGTGAACAGAGGCTGCCTGGCCATTTCGGAGGGCGGCGACGGCGGGGGGTGGCGCAGCAGCACCAGCGGCGGCGCTCGGACGGAGGTGCTGGACGACGGAGTGACCAGGGCCCCCTGCATCGCGATGCCCAACATCCGGCTAGCCTCGGAACTGCGGCGGGTGCGTGCTTGCATGCGTGCTTGCGAGAGATGTATGGCTTGGTTGGGTAGGCGGTGGCGGCCGGTGCGCGTCAGAAAGGAGAGACCTGTTTTTTTTTTGTGGGCGGCGGGCGCGTTTGAGAGCCGGGCTTCTGATTTTTTTGGGAGGTTTCCTTTTATCGAAAGAAGGACCTACTTTGTACACTGGAAAGCACACGCCCTCCGCTCCAAGCGTACTGTCATCCGTATCCACGCCACCTTTCGTGTTCTCGCTTGAAGGAAAACGTACGCATTTACATCGAAATGCGTTCTTCAAGTGCCGTTCAGGTTTGTCCCTCAAAACCCCCGTGAGCGAATCCCACCTACCACGGTGTACCGTACGGCATATCAACCGTACCACTCACCATTCCGTACCACCATGTGTTCTAAGTGAACGAATGAATTGATATAAGACCCGATAACCACCCCCCCCCTCTCAGTGGGCGGAGCGCAGGAGCGGGGAGGATGCTGGCTACCCCTTGCTGTTCGACGCCTTCCAGTCCACCACCAGCCACGGCTCGCTCACGTCCGTCACGGCCTCTCTGGCAGGCCGGCACGTGTACCTGCGGTTTAAGTGCACCACAGGTAAGGTGGCTTAGATGACTTGGGGAGGGGGACGAGAGAGAGAGAGAGAGAGAGAGAGAGAGAGATAGGCAGACAGAGAAGAGGTGATACAAGCTCTTTCTATCAAATTTTCCTTGCCCGTCGTTCCCGTGACCCTCCCCCTCCCCACCCGTCTCTCTATCTTTCTCTCTCTCTATCTCTCCCTCTCGCTCTTTCTCCCTCTCTCTCTCTCCCTCTCTCTGGCCCTCCCTCCCTCCCTCCCTCCCTCCCTCTCTCGTGTGCTTTTCCCTCTCTTTTGCTGCAACTGTCCGGGATACTGTGCTTGATTTCTTCCCCACCTCCGCTCTACGTACCTCCCCCCCCCCCCC